TGGGAGGTAAGATGTCACGTCCATCTAATTGGAGGTAATGTTAGGGATCTTATTAAAAATGAATTAAAATTTCAGTGACTATTTATGTAGTTTACCATTGTTTTAATAGTACAGGGTGATTAAAAATAGTATTTGTTCAGAATCTTTCTAAATCATTAATAATACATATTCCACATACATAAATACTCGAATCTAAAACCTTTTATTCAATGAACTCACTTTATTAATTAAATAATTTTTTTTTGAAAGAAATTAAATAAATTTAAGGGTAAACTACACAAGTGGTCATCAATGTCTGGGTAAATTTTCGTTTTCTCCACTGAAATTTCAAAAGTAATAAATTGGTCACTGACATTATCGATTTATAATAAATCTACCACTCACCGTTAACCGCCATTACTGGAATAACGGAATGCTGATTTGACATGCTAAATAACTCTATTGTTTTTTCTTTCTCCAAAATCTTTTATTTTTGCTTTCTCCAACGTCAAACTTGTTTTCTTCGTTTCATATAGACTGTAGCTGCGGTTGCTGGGGCTGTTGTTGTCACAGCTCCGTCGTCTTTTCTTTTCCTTTTTAATCTCACTTGCAGGCTGCAGCAGCTCATTCATCTTGGCTTTTCATTTTTCTTCTTCTTGGTTGCTTCATCTTGCTCGACATTTCTCTTCTCTGCTACGAGATACGGCTCTTGCTCTATCTTTCTTCTCTTTTTTCATTTTCTTCCCCGATTTAGTATCCTCTGAAGCATCTCCATAGTCCATATGTAGCCTAAATCCTAAATATCCGATACTTACGATAACGTCATTAGTAGTTATTGTTGATCTTATCCCTTAATATGCTGATTTGTAGGACTATTGTGAATGGATCGTGCTACCTTGCGACATTCGTTTTTGGCTTCAATTCTCTTGGTTTGTTCCTTTATTCTGGCCAACTCCCCTGAGTCCAATCACGGAAGGCTCCATGATTAATGAAAATGAGAACAAAGGTGAGCAGAATGTTGGCTCACTGAGTTCAGTGAAACAAAATGCTGTGGAAGGGACAGAGTTGACCAATACCAGGGAAAGGGAGGACCGGAATCCAGATGATAAACAATAAAAATAGATATAGATATCGTGTTTGTGTTCGTGTTATTTTCTCGTGTTATAGATCGTGTACGAATCTCATGTTATGTATATTTTGATATATTTTTATTTAAAAAGAGAAAATGTAAATGTTACATAATCAGATCAATTTAAATGTGATAGAACAATAAGGATGTCTGTAATAAAAAAAAAAAGGATTATGTATTCTAATCAGTCAACTAAAACTATAAGAACTATGAAATGGAACAGTACATCAGGAAGAAGTATGCCCTAAAAGAAACATGAGAAAAGGAACTCGGATCGAATGAAGTTACCGGAATTCCAGGGAGATGCTGGTTTCCGTCGTCTCGAACCTCAAATCTCAGGGAAGCTAAAGGATCCTAAAACAATGAGGAAAGTCTTGTGCTTGAATAGATGAAAAATGGAGGAAATTAGGACACCAAGATCACCCGACGGCTAAGCGGAACAGCAGCCAGTGTTCTTGAGGGCTGAAACATCATCCTTGCCTCCTACATTGATGCTTTGTCCCCTAGGCAATGCTCCATGATCATCGCCTGCTTCAAGTGTTTTTCGGCTGACGACCCGGAATATTTGAGTTAGCACCTCGGTGAATGCATTGTCAACATTCGTGGACTCGAGAGCAGACGTCTCCATAAAGAAGGTATTTTCTCTTTCAGCAAATGCCATGGCATCCTCGGAGGAAACGGCACGCAAGTGTCGCAGGTCTGCCTTGTTACCAACAAGCATAATCACGGTACTGGAATCTGTGTGACCCCGTAGTTCCTTCAACCATCTCTCAACATTCTCAAATGTGACATGTCGAGTGACATCGTAGATAAGCAATGCACCGACAGCTCCTCGATAGTACGCACTCGTAATTGCCCGGTATCTGGAGAAAAAAAAACATAACAATAAATCAACTCTCAGAAAACTTTTGAAACAATCGATTTCTAGGAGGAAACGTGATTCAAGTATAAAATCATTTCTATCTCCATTTTACACCAATAACACCTCAACCAAATGGCACTTGAATTAGTGACACCAAATTCAGTCAAGAAATTTTTACATAGCATAGATGTGGCACAACCTACCGGCACCCAAAACTTTCGAGAGCAAGGAGAGCCAACCGAGAATTTTCAATTCGTCCCCTAAAGCTTCTCTATGCAGTTTTTATTTAATTCAGAGAAATGTAAAAACACATTTCATACAAGTCCGAGCATCAGAGTTTACGGATAAAAGGATGATCGGGACTGAAATAGACACTTGACAACATCCTCAATTCATGGCTAACGTGAAATTTAACACCTAAACAAGGTCAATCTATAGAATAAATACAGCAACAAAATGTAAAACTAAACGAAAATCTTGCTAAAACAAACCATGAAAAGATATGATCCATAGATCGAATACACAAAGGATTTCCTATTCGACGAATATATATCCTAAAGACACTTGCAAATACAGTTTGAAGGTTCAACTAGAACTTTTAAGAGAAGTTGGTTTCCTTCTTCTTCAACATTTTCAGTAATGAATCAAGTCGTAACATATATGAATTTTCAATAACATCCTCAATTCTATGGATAACATGAAATTTAACACCAAAACAAGGTCAATCTATAGATTTAACACAGCAACAAAAGTTAAAAATAAACAAAAATCTTGCTAAAACAACCAGAAAAGACATGATCCATTTATCAGATACACAAATGATTTCTTCTTCGACGAATTTATATCCTAAAGACACTTACAAATACAGTTTGATGGATTCAACTAGAACTTCTAAGAAAAGTTGGTTTTCTTTTTCTTCAACATTATCAGTAATGAATCGAGTCGTAACATATATGAATTTTCCTCGAGCATTGTCAGTTAGTAAACGGACCGATATTTCGTATCTAATTAATTCCCAAGTCAAATTGAGTTCACAACCTGTCAATCAACAAAATTGCATTTCACATAGGCTATGCACCAACCTAAAAGCACACCTAATTTTCTTAGCAACCAAGCAATCCAAAGAACAACACAAATTGCTCAATACCATTTTCACCAAACCAATAGACTAATCTAATAATCACCTTCTTTTCCTCAAATCAGTAAGAAATACGAAAAATACCCGAAAATCCAAATGCAAGAGCAGAACAAAACGAAAACAAAATGAGAATATGAGAATTATGCATGTGTAGTTTTCCTACATTTTCTCAGCAACCAAACAGGCCCCCAAAATCCAAAATTCTAAACATCCATTCTACTAATTCAATGCACCAACACGAAAAACATCTCATTTCCCTCGAATCTATCAGAATTCAAAAACTTTTTCAACTAACAAAAACCAACAGAAAATAAGTAGAAGAATGTACCTTTCTTGTCCGGCAGTGTCCCAAATCTGGGCCTTAATGACCTTATCATCGACCCGAATGCTTCGGGTGGCGAATTCAACTCCGATTGTAGATTTAGATTGAAGGCTAAACTCGTTCTTCGTAAATCTGGACAACAAATTCGACTTACCAACACCCGAATCTCCGATCAACACCACCTTGAATAAGAGATCGTAGTCATCGTCCGCTCTATAAGCCGCCATATTGGCTCACCTGTTCGGGTTCTTTTATGGAACTTGTATATATATATATACACGCACATATATAGGAAATGGCATCAAATGCAAAGATGAGGGAGGTATTAGAGAAAGAGTTTGAATTGGGAAAAAAACTTTCAAAAACGGTCATTGAACTATTTTAAAATAAAATTTTATAACGAGTATAATTTTCTTGGGTAAAGTACACTAATGATCTCTCGACTATAAGATTTTGATTTTTTGAGTCACTTAACTAATAAAAATTATAAAAAGATCCTTAGATTATAGGATGTTCTTTTTAAGTCTCACAACTATTAAAAGTTACAAAATGGTCACTCGACTATTTATATGTTTCAAACTCATCATTTTCGTTATAAAATGATGCTAGTCTGAGCTGGATATAAACCCGCTGACTGAGATATGATTAAATCTGATCCTAGAGTCTCAAATGACTATCATATCCTAGAATCTCTAACATAAAAGGATAAGTTCGGAACATATGAATAATTGGATGACTATTTTGTAACTTTTAATAATTGAGGGACTCAGCAATGCAGAGCACTATAGTCGAAGATCTTTTTTATAACTTTGAATTGTCAATGGACTCAATAAAACAATGTTCTATAGTAGGGACTATTTGTGCACCTTATCCTAAATTTTTATGTTTATTATAAAATAAGTATAGGATCGGTTCTATCATCAGTAGCTATTAAATGGAAGAGTAAATTATACGTTTAGTACTTAAACTATCAATTTTGGTTTGTTTTAGTACCTAATCTTTTAACTTTTTCAAAATCGTACCTAAAGTTTAGTTTTTATTTCATTTTAGTACACGCCGTTAAAAATTTTAGTTTTTGTTTCATTTAGTATCTTCGTTCAAAATTTACGTACTAAAACATACTAAAACTGGTGGTTTAGGTACTAAACGCGTTAATTTTTTAACGACGGGTGCTAAAATAAAATAAAAACTAAATGTTAGGTATGGTTTTGAAATAATTGGTAAGTTTAGATACAAAAACGGATCGAATTGATAGTTTAGGTACTAAATGCATAGTTTACTCTAAATAGAATGATGTAGCACATTAAATTAATAATAGGTTATATCTTATTTGGCTCATTAAATTTTAATTAATTAAATTTTATATATTTTTAATTAATAATTAGATATTCTTTTTGGATTTTTTTAAATTTATTACTTCCAAATTTAATATATTTTTTGTCAAAATATTTATTATTTGATAATATTTTTCTATCGAATTTACCATTGATTTAGAATGGCAAAGTTTCACCTCCAAAAATACCCAACCTTCACCCTAAATAAAATCCCAACAAATGTCCATTAAACTTCGTTTCCTCACCAAAAAGAAATGCCCACAATGGCAAACTTCATTTCCACCACCACCACGAATGACACCAACCATCACCACCACCACGACCAGCCGTCGTGGGCCGACGAGTTCCTCAACTTCTCATCGACACGTCGCGTAGCCCACCGCCGTTCCATCAGCGTCGACTCCGTAGCCTTCCTCGACCGACCATTGGAGGAAGAAACTAGGGGTGTCATCGTAAACGCCATGACGACGGAACCAAACATGTTCGACCACCTCGACGACGAGCAGCTCAAGGCAATGTTCACCGACGACATCACGTTCACCGTGCCGCCGATGACGACGGTTTCGTCATCGAGCCCTTCCACGCCGCCGACGTCCGATCAAAATAGCAACAACGACGAGAAGCTGACACCGGGAGAGGTGGAAAGCTCATGCAAAGTACACGAAACACAAGCTTCGGAACCTCCATCGACCTCCAATGGCGGTGATCACATCATCGATCCAAAGAGGGTGAAGAGGTATAAAAAGAACATATAGTATCAAACAAAAACAAAAATCAAAACCCATTAAAGCTTGATTCTTCAATGAATTGTTTAATTTGTTTTGATGGATTAAAAGAATTCTGGCAAATCGGCTATCAGCGCAAAGATCAAGAGTGAAAAAGCTGCAATATATTTCAGAGCTTGAAAGGAGCGTAACAGCATTACAGGTATACATGCATGCATGCATGCATATGAATATATACGTACATATGACAAATTTTCTACGTATTTTTCTACGTAACGTATTGTTCTTTTGTTTGTTGGGAAAATGAAGAGTGAAGTATCGGCATTATCACCAAGGGTTGCATTTCTGGATCGGCAAAGATTGATGCTTACGGTTGAAAATAGTGCTTTAAAGCAAAGGATTGCTGCTTTGGCTCAAGACAAGATTTTCAAAGATGGTAAGACCTCATGTTCATTAATTATTAATTACCATTATAATTTTAAGGGTAAAGTAATTGATCATGTCACTCAACTTTAGGGGACATATAGTTTAAATTATTTAACTTTTAATTACTTTGATCGTAGTATTAAACTTTAGTTTTGACTTTAATTATACCATTAGATCGTTAAAATCTAAATGATGTGATGACATGAACATAACATCATTTGGTGTGCTTATGTATTGATGACTAAAATGACGTCGTTTTAGACACTAAAATTTATGGGTTTATTGATTTTGCTGCTAATAATTTTAAAATTTTTCTTTTTGACACCACTTTTTCGATTATTGTTGAACTCTTTAGAGCCTAAAATTGAATATTGTAAATGTTTAGTGATAAAATCAATATACTCTTAAAATTAAATGCGTAAAAAAGCATTGTTTTGTTCATGAATATTCGTGCCAAAATGACATCTTTTTTTGTCCATATCATGACGGTGATAAAAGATCCGTCTACATCATCGTACCGTTAAAATTTAACAATCCTCTAGCATAATTGAAGTTAAAACCAAAGTTCAATGTTATAATTGAAGCAATTGAGAGTTTGGTGGTATAAAAGATATGTTGCCTAATGTTCAGTTGCATCAGATGTAGTTTACCCTAATTTTAGTTAAATGAATTATTACTTTTTGGTAAAAAGGCATCAGAGATCCGTGTACTTTTGAAAAAAAAAACAATGTGACAATCATATTATTTTTTCTTTCAATGCGATCCTCCAATTCAGAAAATAAATCCAACGTGGCCCTTTGACCAACGTTTTTCGTCGTTGACCGTTACATTGCTAATGTGACAATTCACGGTGCTGACATAGCAATCCATGGTGCTGACATGGCAATCGAGGTGGTATATTAATGTGGCGGATGACATGACAGATTGACTAAATTGATAACTCAAAAATGGCATATGGACTGCCATGTCAGCCCCGTGAACGTGTAACGGTCAACTACAAAAAATGTTGGTCAAAGGGTCAAATTAGATTTATTTTCTGAGTTGAAGAGTCACATTGAGATAAAAAAAATACGATGATCACATTGATTTTTTTTCAAAAATTAAGAGAATCTTATGTCTTGTAATTATATATATATGGCATGCAAATTCCATAATAAAATGTGTTTCAAATTACCTTAAATCAGCTCATCAAGAAGCATTGAAGAGGGAAATTGAGAGACTAACACAAGTATATCAGCGTCAACAAAGCCTCAAGAAAATGAACGTAAACCCCACTCCGCCGCTGCCGCAGAATGGAGGACCACAACTCGAGGGAATGGATCTCTTCATGTGTGAGCAAGATATCGTTGAGAATCTGCCGGCCTTTTATCAAGGCCGGGTGTGCATCGATGATTTAACATTTTCGCCACTCCCAAAAAGAAGAGGACCGCGTCATTAACATTTTCCGAGGTTTGTTTCCTGTTACCCCACTTACTTGATCATCAAGCTAGCATATGTATCCTAATCTCCAAGTTTCGTTATACAGCTTTACGGAGCAGTAACCATGAATAATGTCCTCTGCCTGTCGGTTTTCTTGGCACTTGTTTACGTCCGGGGATTGACTTGGGACTTCTCATCCCAAGTGCTGGTTATTCTCATTGTTTGCATAGTCATGGGTGCCTTTGCTAGTTTCCGAACTACTTTCCCGCTCTGGACATGTTCGGTCGCATACATTCTTTATCCGTTTTCGTTGGTGTTCGTTTACATCCTCGATTATTTCTTCGGCTGGTCATAAGCTCGTTTACACCCTAGAACAAACTTCTGAAACTCTTCCCTTTAAACGTTCCGGATATATCTGTATTTTATGGCAGTGTGTTCCTCAGTTTATCTAATATCCACAGGTTAAATAGCTTCATTATGTAAGTTCTCGTGTTATTCGAACTCTTCATTTTTTTTCGAAGTTAAATAAGCGAAATAAAAGAAAACTTAAACCCGAATCGATCCATACATTCTTCTTCTAAAGACAGCATATGACAGATTACAGTAAAAGAAAAGCAGTACTACTTTCTTACTCTCTCCTTTTAATATAATCACAACTAATCAAAATTTAACGGTTCAATGGATTACAATTTACGTAAATTCACAAGCACATCTAATCGAATAAACAGAACACGAGCACGGTATAGTTTGACTGGCAAGTTCCGAAGTTCTGGGCTTTTTCGGGATGAAAAAGAGTTCAGAACCGTATGTAACAATACCAAATAATCAATCATACCAACCTATTCGCTTCGATCGTGTATCGAGTTGAATGTCATTGTAGCACTCGACATGGTAAGATATTCTGATGATGATGATGCATTCCCTTCTTTGCTTGTGCTTCCGGTCATCACATTGGACTTCTCTTTGTGAGCTTTTATTTTCATGAACTCCGAGAGCAGGCCAGGTCTCGATATATTCCGGTCATCCACTGGATCCTCGCCGGTTAGCATCTTCACCACTTTGGACATGGATGGCCTTTTGATGTGGATAAGAAGAAAAACATCAGTAATCAAAAGAAATAAGGTCGAACAAACGAGTAGGAACGAAGATCATAATATAAGCTCATGCATCACCTTTGCTTCGGCACTTCTTGGGTGCAAAGTAAGCCGACCTTTAGGAACTTCTGAGCTTCTTCATCGTCATAGTCTCCATTCATCGACGTATCAACTAGTTCTGCAAGTTGTCGTCGTTCATACAATCCCCATGCCTGCAGTTATATATCGACTTAGCAATGAGTCGCAAAATCCTACGTCCAACAACAAAGAACGGAATTGAAACAGATGAAGCTCGAGAATACACAAGAATACACTATATTTACTTGGATTTAGAGCTGAATGTTGGATATTGACCTACACAAGCATGCTCAAAGTTTCTCAAGTCTTTTCCATATATTTTAAGGATCATACATACCCCATAACTATGTTCTCATATGTTTCGGATATAGGTATCAAATACCTCGAGTAAAATAACGAATCGGTGTAACGTAAGGTGACACTTTCGTATCATGCAATTTATCCACTCTCAAAAGCTTTTCTAGGATTAGGATATCGAAAACCGGCAAACAAACTGTAGGATCAATGGAAATTGAATACGAGTTGAAAGTTGGTAATTATATCTCCATGTGTTTCTGCATTTAAAGACTACCGAAGCTATACCTTACGCCAATGATATATTAAGACTCGGATGACCCTAACATTGAAGGCTGGAATGATAAGAACGTATGGGAAATTCATACCCTTTCGAGTAGATATTGATCCGACAGAGGTAATCTCCTGTTCGTGTTGCATCTACCGCTCACGATCTCCAATAGCAAAACACCGAAACTGTAAATATCGGCTTTCACCGTCAGCTGGCCTCGCATAGCATACTCAGGTGCTAGATAACCTCTATATAAACCACAAAAGGATACATGATCAAATTAACAATGATGAATGGAAGTCGGGGATATTTTTAACAGCTCTAATCTATGTTACTCGAACTCAAGTGAGAGTGTCGGATATGTGCATGTGCCCGGTATAGGAATGTTTAACTTTCTTTTTTCCAAAATTACATGTATTTGGATGGTCCCTGAAGGATTACATCCTCGTATCCATGTCTAGACACATCGGATAATCCTCGAACAAAGGAACTTCAAGAAAGTGACAACAGAAACCGGTTAAACATGATAAATGAGTATATGAAGACCATATTTTTTAAGAACTCACGTCGTTCCAGCGACTCGCGTACTAATATGAGTCATGTTGTCAGGGAAAAGCTTCGCCAGACCGAAATCCGAAATTTTGGGCATGAGGTTTCTATCAAGGAGGATATTGCTTGCTTTGATGTCTCTATGAACAATACAGGGTTGAACTTCCTCGTGAAGAAAAGCAAGCCCCTTCGCAACGCCGATGCAAATTTTACATCTCGCAGGCCAGCTGAACTGCATGCTGCTATGGCCTCCGCCTATAAGGTAAACAGGCCTTCACTTATTATTGTTCGAGCAGTTAACAAGCACGAATCCAGAATTGCATAACTTACCAAGAAGAGTTTGTGCAAGGTTGTTATTCTCGAGATAGCCATAGACCAAGATTCTGTGATCTCCTTCCACGCAACAGCCGTGCAGCTTAACCAGGTTCTCGTGCTCTATATCAGCAATCACATTTATCTCAGTCAAGAACTCTCGCAACCCTTGCCTTGAATCAGCAGACAGAACCTTTAAAGCAGCCACGGTACCATCTCGGAAAGTTCCCTATTCGAACAAAATCGACTTGTAAGAAGTTAACATTGGTGATGCTAAAACAAAACAGGCTTTTATTAAAGCCTTCTTTCGAAAAGATTAGAACAAAAACAAAATTTGAAATTACCTTGTAGACAATACCGAAACCTCCCTCTCCGATTTTATTGGAATAATTAAAATTTCCGGTCGCCACTTTCAGCTCCTTGTAAGGAAACAGTCTAGTGTTCTGAATACCTGAAACCTCTGTAAAATGAGTAGGAATAAGGAACTTTTGCAAGCAAATAATGCATATAGAACTTGAAAGTATTCTCCAGGATTGCAGGCGGGTTTTATCAAGCTTGGGAGTCGAAATCTATTAAAGAAATTCGGATAAATTTCGCCGTTCATCCTAAATTTTTACCCTTTTTTCAATCCGGATAAACTTCGGTCAATTCAGTATCCTTATCCAAGTCGAATTCTATACCCCGAGACAAAACATTAAATAAGATTAGCAGCATACCTTCATCAATATCGACTCTATGTTCAGGTGGGGAAGCTGTCTTCTTTTGTGAAAATAAAAAAGAGCAACAAGTCATCACCAACTTCAAATGCATAAACACAAATCGGAACTCCGTCGAGCCACTGAAAAGCACGAAACAAGAGTCATCATCCTCTATGTCCATCAGAAAGAGTATATAACTGTTACATCATTCCCATAGGAAAAAATATCTAAAGAACAAGGTCAATCTTTGTCTGCGAGTAATGTATGATGATAATCTACAACGACCAAAGTCGTTTCAGCTTTACGCTTAACATGACTAAGAATGCTAATATCAGTGGCAATGAATCTCAAATCACATTCATTCTCCGCTATAGCATCTTAAACCGTCTCTAGCAAAGAAAAGAAACAATGCTAAACCGTCTCGAATCATGTTTGTAATAGGAGTTGCAAGTATCTTAAGCAATAAGATAGTTCGATACAAGAGTTGTGAGAATACTTCACTGTAACATGATGATTGAACTATTTCGAGACAGTATTAAAATCGTGTCGACTAAAGAGAAAACGAGGCAATTGTGATCAAACAAGAGCAGGAAAGAGGGAAACGAAACAGAATGTGTCGAAAACCATATCGAATAAACACCTCCATCGAAAAAAAATCAAATGACAAGGAACAACAGCAAAGGAGATTTTGTTCGAATTATGTGATAAGTCAGATATAATCCACAATTAGCATATGAACAAAATATGATCAAGTTTCGTAGTCGAAAATCGTCTCGGGCAAATCTACAGAAGATTTTGAGCACAATTACATAAACAAAATCACTAATTGAACTTTTAAAATGTGGTTAGACTGCTTGTTTCAGAAACATATCCAATTTGCTTCAAAGTTGAAAGGTAAAAAGGCTTAAAAATCTCCATGGAAAGTCCCTGTGAGATCAAAATTCCAAAAGCAGGTAAAATTTTGAGCAAATCAAGAAATTATAACCTAATCTAAAACCTCTATAACTACAAAGCAAAACAAATTTTGAAAGGGGAAAAAACATGGGAAAACAATTGTAAAATCTTCCATCACACAAACTTGGAAAAAAAATCTAAAAGTCACAACTTTGCACCAGAATTCAAAGCTAAAACACTAAGAAATTAGACCAAAATAACAAAAGAAGAAGAAGAAAAGAAGGAAACCCAACATTTGTTATCCTCTGTTTTGCTAAGAACATCCATAAAAATTGAATCTTGAGTTTTTGCTTTCGTGTAACAAAGAACCCAAGTCGTCAAGTAAACTTCTTTTTTCAGTATATCAAAGTAAACTAAAGCACACTTTTCTTATATATGGATATAAATGATGATAGGAAGCACAAGCATAACCCAGATTTTCTAGGCAACCAAACATAACCCAGACTATAAACCAACCTCAGATGCTTTCGAAACAGATCCCCCAGTGATTCAGACGATCTTAGAATCATGTAATGAACTAACAACATAGTCTGCAGTCAATGCGTGGATTTTTCTCATGGATAGAATTGGAAGATAATTCTAACATGAAAAGCAAAAGAAAAAGGTGCAAATTATAAAATACATCCCCAGGCCCCAGGTACCATGGAAAGTCGTCAATATCATATCCGAAACTTACTTGACACCACCTATTTTTATTAAGGTAAATTATACGTTAAATTATCAGTTTTAATCTATTTTAGTATATAAATTTTTTATTTTTTAAAAATTATACGTAAAATTTAATTTATATTTTATTTTAGTACTCGTGATTAAAAATTTTTATTTTTATTTTATTTTAGTATCAATTTAAAATTGACTTAATAGTAAAAAGGGTTCTCAATGTATGCCTCTTTTTTCAATTTGGTGACTAATATTTTTTTCGATCCAGGTTGGGATGAATGTTTTATTTCGTAACTCACTTTGGTGCCTAGCTATGACGAGCCGTTAATATGGGCCGTTAAATGCCACTTGACATGGGTATAATAGTCAAAAAATGAATTTTTTAATTAACATAATAACAAATTAAATATTTGAAATTGATTTTTTTAAAAAAATAGAGAAAACC